TCGTCTTCTGGTGAAACCGACCTTCGAATCTCTTCACCCAACACTTCTACTCGAAATGGAAGTAATCCCGTGATAATAAAACCAAATTGCCAAAATAAACCAATCACTTTATATAGTGTGCTTTAACGACTCTAAGTGGCAGAATTTAAAGCAAACCCGACTATAAAAGGGTGGCATTCATGAAGCAATCTATCAAACCAAGCAGATCATATAAATTGAGAATATAAACATTCTAAATAAGAAAAGTATAACCTTAATAATTCGACATCTCGAATGCATAAAATTTTAGATTCTTGTAAGTCTATGAGACTCAAAGGAAGAGTCAGATTAGTAAAGTTTCCATAGTGTAGAGTCGGGACAATGAATCCGATTGAAAATGTACAGCGAAGAGTTACTTCGAGAAATTAAATTTAACTTAAAATATTATTCTATTTGTTGGGCTGAGAGGAGTGATCAGATTCGTAAGTATACCTCATCATAAAACGACGGTTAATTGTCCTTGACTTGCCGTAATTTGATGATAATAAGGAGCGAGGGTCAACACAGTCTTTGGGTAATATACACTCCTTTTCAGTAAGAACAGTTTTCGGTTTTCTTTAACTTTGTTTTATCGAAATGTAATCACGGCTGTTGTAGGAATACAGACATTCGTACCCAAAATTTCAGGATAGGTGCTAAGAATTCCGTCGTTTGTGTAATGAAGAGAGGTATATAAACTTTCGGGTAGAGCATTCGAATGATCCGGATGTTGAGAAAATAGCAGATTCAGAATCTTTTTTTCTTAGTATAGTTTAAGGGACTCGAGCAGACAATGGAATAAATGGATAAAAATAAATCCTAAAAATGGCGAATACTAGAACTAATTTTTATTCCAAATCTGCCTTAATCGCAGTAAGGTTAAGCGACATTGCAAAAGAGATTTTAGGATTAAGAAAAAATAAAATTATCATGCCTATTGATGTTACTGGAGTTTCCTTCGGCTTGCTGGTGCAATTAGGTCTGCTAGATGAGCTCCGGGCCAACATAGTGCAGGTGACCCAAGAACTCAGAAGCATAGCTGGATAGCCCGAGGCTAGAAGGAGGCGATTTGCGAACTGAAGCGGCCAAGCGGCAAGCAAACAGATGGCATGAAGCCGCAGAGGAAGGCTGATGAGGCCGTTCCAGGACGAGAGGTCAGAGATAGACGACGGTGGAAAGGAACGGCGAAGGGAGGAACAGATCTCTTTCTTTTAGGACATAATCAAGAAAGAAGGGTGACATGAAAAAGTATCATGAGAATGACAAACAAGATTATCAAGATGATTAAATATTACCATCAAAATTAGTTTAATAGTGTTCCAACCCGTACACCCAGGTTTTCTTATTAACTTTTGATCCAATCACACAAATTGGATTAAAGTAGGAGTTATAAACTCAATAGTAATAAGGGAAGAATCCCTTAAGAGATTGATGTAGATTACTCAAATATAAACCACAAAAACCAGAAAATTAATAGATGTAAGTATATAATG